CTTTGTTTATCTTGCTGGAGTTCATTTCTGTCCACTACCATGTGCCAGTAATTCATCACTCCCATCTTTCCACACTGTCATTTAGTTGAGCATGGCAGATATCCACAAGCCTATTTCAGTTGATTATTTCTTCATTCCCTGTCCGGTCCTCAAGTTACTTTGACTTACGTCACACTTCTCATGAAATTCAGTGGCTCCTTTCCACTCTCAGCATAATTCCTGATTCAGGAAAAGGAATTTCAAGTCTCCTATTGTAGCTTAATTCAAACATTCGTGAAGAAGCCAGCTTTTTTGACCTTTTCATCCAAAATACCAAGCCATCTACTTCTTAAATAACGGGAGTCAGCTAAGCAGTTATTTTAATATCCAGAAGTGTTTTTACACAGAACTGAATATTTTTGTTTTTCATCACCAAATCTTCCATAGTATTTTTTTTCATCTATTAACTGCCACTAGTAAATCACCCATGTTTTACAATTGATTAATTTATGTGCAAAGCCCATTAAGAGCGAAAACAGACTATATCATTGTCATGTAGAAACTGAAAAGAACATTATTGGTTAGCTGAACCAGTGGAGAAGTGGCAGATTAAATTTAATGCAGAGAACTATCAAGTGGCTAATTTAGGTAGGAATAATGCGGAGACAAAGTATAAAACAAAGAATGCACTTCTGAAGGGAGCTTTAGCAGAAGGACTTTGTGTGTGCGTGTGTAACATACAAATCATTGAAGGTAGCTGGTGAGGCCATTATTCAAGCATACAGCATACTAGGCTTTATAAATGGGGGCATAGAGTGCAGTGCAACTCTAAGCCTATATAAAACAGTGGTTTGGCCTCAATGGGAGTACTGCGTCCAGTTCTGAGCGCTGCACTACAGGAAGCATGTAAAAACTGCAGAAAGGGTGCAGAACAGATTCATGGAAATTGTTTCAGGATGGAAGACCTTTGGTTATGTAGATTGATTGGAGAAATTGGGATTGTTCTCCTTGGAGAAGAGAAGGCTGGGAGGAAATTTTAGAGTTTAGAATTTCCTTTATTGTCACATGTGATCAAGTACAGGAGTACGGTGAAAAGTTTAAAATGTTGCTCCACGTGGCACCATCTGAGGTACAAGGTACCTAGCTTCAAATCTTGGGTACGAAATAGAGAAATAAAGGAAAAAAGGGGGGGATAAAAAAGTTACATTACATAAAGATAAAAAGATAAACATTACAGTTTTTCGATGAAGGGCCTGCAGTAGATCAGCATAGGGTCTTCCACACATGGTCTGACCGGGCTTGCAAGCCGCTGACTGCCCGCACTGGTCCCCAGTCCACAACTGTCCTGCTCCATCAAGCATCCAGCCCATTGGCCATCCTGCCCTGCTCAGGCCTCCAGCCCGCTGGCCATCCTGCCCCGCTCAGGCCTCCAGCCCGCTGGCTGCCCCTGCTCCACTCAGGCCTCCAGCCCGCTGGCTGCCCCTGCTCCACTCAGGTCTCCAGCCCACTGGCTGCCCCTGCTCCACTCAGGACTCCAGCCCGCTGGATGCCCCTGCTCCACTCAGGCCTCCAGCCCGCTGGCTGCCCCTGCTCCGCTTGGGTTTCCGGCCCGCTTTGCATTGCTCTCCAAGGTAGGTTTTCCAAAAACACTAAAAATAAAACTTAAAAGAGAGAAGAACAACGAGAAAAAAAAGAAAGAAACGGACAGAATGGACGAACACCGGGCTGAGGAGCCCAGATGCTGCATAATCCGCTGCAGCCATCTCATTTGGACATACACATTTGATAGAGTCTTGAGGGATCTGGAAATAGGGAGAAGCTGTTTCTGTTGTTGGAAATGTCGTAGAAATGTATCAATATGGCATGCCAGTTGAGCCTGCTCTGCCATTCAAAATGATTGTGGCAATCTGATTTTAACATCAACCCTATATTCTTGCATGCCCCCAATAATCTTTCAACCCCATGTTAATCAAGGATCTATCTACTTCTGCCGTAAAAAATATTTAAAGATTCTGCATCCACTGCCTTTTCTTCATTCCATCACTTTTAAACTATGATCTCTAATTCCAAGTTGCACAAGAGGAAACATTTTTTCCACATTCATCCAGTCAAATCCCCTCAGGATCTTATGTTTTAATTAAGTCACCTTTGAGTCTTCAAATCTTCAGATGGTACATGCCTAATCTATTTAATCTTTCCTCATAAAACAATCCCTTCATTTCAGGCATTAGATCTAGTAAACCTTTGCTGAATTGCTTCCAATACATTAACATCATTCCATAAGCATAGTGACTAGTATTGTACACAGTACTCCAGGTGCGATCTCACCAATGCCCTGTATAACTGAAGCATGACCTCCCTATTCTTTCATGCAATTCGCCTTCCAATAAACCAGAACATTCTATCAGCTTTCCTGAATACTTGCTGTCCCTGCATACCCTGCCCTACCATGTTGTTATTGTAAGGAGGGAGGGGGTCTGTACACCCAGGTCCTCCCACAAGTGATCGCATGCCTTTATCATTCCTCATCTCTACTCAGACTGCTTTTTTTTTGGGTTTCCTGAATTTAGGTCACCCTGTATATTGTGCTAATATCATCTTTAATTAGCAAAGCCACTCTTACATGCTTTGCAAGCCTCCTGTCCTTCCTAAATGTCACATACACTTCAATATTCAGGCCCAAATCTAGATCATCCTGCATCCATGTCTCGATAATGGCCACTTTATCATACTTATTTATCTCAATTTGTGTTACTAGTTCATCTATTTTATTTTGAATACTTTCAAATATAATGCCTCAATTGTTGTATTTTTATCCTTGTTATAACCTCTTGTCCTATCTGTTGATTTGCTTTTAGATCTGTACTCTCCATCTCTTCCTGTTATTGTCAGTTTATCATTTCTTACATTAATTCCTTCCTCTATTGCCTTTTCCCTAATCTTTGATTCCCCTCAAGTTTGGACTCTTGCCCTCACTATTTAGTTTTAAGCCAGCTCTGTTGCCCTGGTTCAAGTGTAGACAGTCCTAACAGTACAGATCTCACTTTCTCCAAAATTGGTGACAGGGTCCCAGACCTACATCTCTGACAATTCTCAGCCACTCTCTCATCTCTCCAGCCTTGTTTACCCAATGCCACTTTGCATGTTCTTCGGGTAATAATCTGGAGAAGTTCTACTTGTGAATGTGGTGCCTAGCTCCTCATACTGGCTATGCAGAACCTCTTTCTGAGTAGTATCAATATCAATGGTACCTACATGGATCACAACAACTGGATCCTCCTCTTCCCACTGCAGGTTCTTCTCCCGCACAGAGCAAATATCCCTGGACCGTGACACAGGGCAGATATCTGGACACACAGCCTTTGCTGCAGAGAACAATGCCCATCTTTCTGACTATGCTGTTCCCTACTATCACTACATTCCTCCACTAGAATGTCTTCCTGTACCAAGGTACCATGGTCATTTTGCCCATCCATCCCACAGTTGAGGGGGTACAACAGCTTAGTGATAATGCACCGGGCTGGTCATCTGGAAACACTAATGTTCTGAGGATATGGGTTCAAATCCCAACATGGTAAATGGTGAAGCTTGAATTCGATAAGTATCTGGAATTTAAATAAACAAGTCTAATGGCAACCATGTAACCACTGTTAAATGTCTTGAAAACAAAAAAGAAACTGACTCATTAATTTCTTTTAGGGAAGGAAATCTACCAATTTTACTTGGTTTGGCCTCCCTGCAATTTCAGACCCACAATAACATAGTTGACTTTTAACTGCCCTCTAGGCAATTAAGGAAGAGCAAAAGGTGCTGGTCTAGCTAAGTGATGACCATATCCAATAAATAAATAAAAAAACAGGCTGAGGGAACTGCAAACCTGTTGAACAATTGCAGAGGCTGAACTCCTGTCCTCCTGACCTCTGAGTCCCCTTACATTGTCACACCCTCCTGTCCCTGACCACTGATCATATCAGAACATCCTATCCTAAGAGTTGAGACTGCCTCCTGGTACACAGGATCCAGGTAACTTTCATCCTTCCTATTTTGTCTCAATGTAGTTCAGCCTCCAGCCATAAATTCTGTGCCAAAGCTGCTCAAACTACAAATGCTTATAGCAAGTATTTTTGTCCCGGATCACACATTGCTCCTCCAAACTGCAGCTTTAACACTGTACTGTCATTCTTAATGAGTTTTCAATTAATTATTTAATTATGCTATTCATTTATTTATGTTGCTTTTTATATATTATGTTAACTTTATCACCTATGTGTCTTCTTTGTTTAAACTTGAGAATAGAATAGGAAAGTGACTATTACTTATCAATCTTGCACTGATGTCACTTCTGCCAGCCATTTCAAATCCTGGCAGGTTCTTGTTTCAGTTTAGTTGCTGTTCCACTGAGCTTGATCTGGGCCTCGCTCCTCAGACTTTTATTGGGATGTTCTGTTGCTGCTGCTCTTTCCCAGGTTCTCTCCAATCTGCTTCTGCTGCTGGCCAAATTGAGATATTGTGATGAATAAACAGATGGTGCAGATTGAAGGTAATTGGCAAAAGAAGCAACATTAACCCAAGGAAAAAGTTTCTACACAGTGAATGTATAGGGATTAGAGTGCAGTGCTTGAGAGTATGCTGAAGGCAGGCTCATCCAAAAGGGGATTGGAATGGAGGAATGAGCAAGGCCACAGAGAGAAGCTGGAGGGAGTAACCCGAAGTAAGTTGCTCCTTCAGAGAGGTAGGACAGCTATGGGGGACCAAATTGTGGCCTCCAGTACTGTGACCATTTTTTGATACATTGTTTAATTTTTTTGTGTATTGTCTTATGGCTCAAAGTAACTGAATTGTATGTCTAATGTCATGCCCAAAGAAATAGTTAACTCAAGAGTTCAGGAAAAACATAATTAAAATTTGATTTACAGAAATCCAGAAATGAATGTATTGCCATGCCTACAATTCTACAAACGGGAAAAATAATTATCTAAGTACTGCATTTAAGCTGAAGAATTAATTTTTATTGATTTCAGCTATACATATCAAGTTGTTGGCAATGGCATCAAAGCTCAGTCAAGCAACCCAGAGGTGAAAGTGAAAGGAACTGACCCTGTCATAAGTCAGATCGTTGATAAACTGAAGCACATCAATCAGGTGAGCAGAAATGTCCTGAAGTGACAAGAAAATGCAATAAAATTATTCAACTCATATACCTACATAAGCTGTTACTGGAAAAGACACACTTTAAACTTTAGAATAAAAAGAAAAATTATTTGTAGGCATATTTAGTTGTCTTCTTGTTTGTGGCTGTAGGAAATATGTGAACATGGTAAAGCTTCCTTAAAAGTACAGATCCAGTTGTTCCCTTATTAAACTGACACCTGATACCATTCAATAGGTTCGGTAGATCTAGAAGGATGATTCTCAAAAATACGTTAATTCCTTCATACATGGGCCATCAATAAACACTGCTTCTGCTTTTCTCACAGTGTCACTGATGTTTTTAGCTCCATTTTCTTTGTTCTTACTGTGTGTTAGATCACAAGCCACTTACAGATGGGAAGGCGATTTGGCCCATTTTTTTTCACACATGACTAACAAAGGAGACAATAGTTAGCAGGTTTGGCAGCAATGTGGAGATGACATTGCAATCAGATCAGAGGTGATTTTATTCAACTGTGGAGCAGATTTGAAGGGCTGAATGGTCTATTCTGTGTTCTTATCCAGAGGAAACCTAATGTTTGCCTGTTGTAACATCTAATGGTTCCATAAGTCTGGCAGTGTTTTAGAGGCTATTGGTCTATCTCAAAGCCCTTGCCACGCAATGATCATTTTTATGAGAATTAATATTTCTGTTAATGCCAATGTTCTGTACTTTTCTGTACTCAGTTTAATTTAAAGCAATACTCTATACTTTAAGACTATTACATTTTGTAAGATCACCCCTCAGTTGCCACCTTTGCAGACTGAAAAGCCCATTTCTCCAACCTTTCCCCTGATATTAAGTATTGGAATCTGAACCCTTCTCTGCACATCCCAGCAGTTTCGACTTTCTGTGATAGTAGGAACTGCAGATGCTGGAGAATCTGAGATAACAAGGTGTAGAGCTGGATGAACACAGCAGGCCAAGCAGCATCAGAGGAGCAGGAAGGCTGACGTTTCGGGCCTAGACCCTT